AACTCATCAAGGAGAGAAGCAACCTAGAACTAAGGAGAAACTTCCTGACAGTGAGAACAATTAACCAGTGGAACAACCTGCCTCCAGAAGCGGTGAATGCTCCAACACTGGAAGTTTTTAAGAAGAGACTGGACAGCCATTTGTCTGAAATGGTATAGGGTTTCCTGCCTGAGCAGGGGGTTGGACTAGATGACCTCCAGGGTCCCTTCCAACTTTATTATCATCTCAAAGAGGCAGAAAATGGGCAAGAAGAAGGCTGGATGTACACTCAATTTCATAACATGGCGTTCCCTCCCAGTTTCAACGGAGAAGCTATACAGATCGTCCTCGGCCTACGCTTAAAACTGACCGTTCCAAAGTTACGACGGCACCGACAAAGTGATTTATGACTGTTTTTCACACTTAGGACAACTGCAGCTTCCCTGGGGGGTCACCTCATCAAACTCCAGGACTCGTATTTATGACAGTGGCAACGTCCCGGGGTGTCACGTGATCAAAATTCGGAGGCTTGGCAACTGACTCGTATTTATGACGGTCACGGAATCCCCGGGGGTCACGCGATCCTCTTTTTGTGACCTTCTGCTGAGCAAAGTCAACGGGGAGGGGAGGGAAAGCTGGATTCCTTTAACCAGCGTGTCACTAACTTAACAACTGCAGCGATTGGCTTCACAGCGTGTGCAAGGGAGGTCGTAAAAGGGGAGGGGGAACCACACTTAGCAGCTGTCTCACCGAGCGGCAGCGATTTGGGGCTCAGTTGCAGGTCGTTAAGCCGAGGACTCCCCGTGCCGCAACTGGCACCCCCACCCTCAAATACACCCCTTCGTCTTGGGTTTATTTGCAAAACGCCGAACGCCCCACAGGGTGCCTTTGAGCCAGGGTGCAAGGCCAGGATACGGGTTTTCAGCTTTTTATTATTCTCTTTTTAAGAACCCCTGAGGAGAGAGAGAGAAGAGAGAGAGAGAAAAAAAAGAGATTTGGCAGTATACTATAACACAGGAACGGCCGATCCGTTGTTGGGCACAGAGGCGGCCCACGAAAGCAGGAGCTGAAGGGCAGGCCGGCATAAATAAGCTGAGGGTTTTCCGCCAAAAGTTTTTAGGAAGGTTTAAAAACAGCCCCTTGCGGGAACGCAAGAAAACTGGTTCTGCAGCAGCACCACAAGCAGCAGCAGCAGCAGCAGCGTCGTTCGAACGGGCGTCTGTGTGAAAGTCACTGCTGTTGTCGTCACGACTCTCGTTGTCCCTCCCTGGCAGATGGTTCCATCTTCGGCTTTTGCTTGTTGAGCAAGGAGCATCCCCTACGCTAGCTGCAAATTCCCGGGGGAGACTTTTGCTCCCCTTGGAGGTGCCGGTTGCCCAAGCCAAACTCAGTGGGATCCGGTGGGGTGAAGAATGCCAGAAGCCCATCCTCCACTCCCCTCCTCCCAACCCAGATTCGTGCAGTGTTCCTTTTTCCCGTCTCCCTCTCGGTTCACATGAGCCCCAAACCCTGAAGGTGCCGCCCAAAGTTTCTGCAGACTCCGATCGATCGGCGATGTCTTTGTACGGGGCCCGTTTGTCCATCGGCGGATGCTAATCGCTTTTTTTGGGGGGGGGAACCTTGGTTTTCAGACCGAGAAATGGGGAGAGGGGCACTGCTTGAGGAAGTGGGGGAGGAGGGGGGAGGAGAAAAGCCAGGTGGGCCAAGGTGGGTCTTGTTAGGCTGCCAGTTGGCTGTCTTCCGAGTCGCCACGGACAGGCCGCCTTAGCCGGATTTCTTGATCCTGCTGGAGAGAAGAGGAAACGGGGAACTTTATTTGATTGGGCTTCGAAGCGTCCACAGTAGGCAAAAGGAAACAGGCGAAAGGAAGAAGAGGAAGAGGAATAATAAGAGGAAAGGACTACTATGGCGGTTTGGCCTGCTCGATCTACCTTCAAACCCATCTCAAATCAAGCCACAGACTCCCACAGCCTGGGGGTGGGGGGCTGGAGGAGGTGGCAGTGGAACCCCAAAAGGTCCAGGGCTACCCTTACGGAATCCGTATATATTTCCGTCTCGCTGGTCAGGAAACTGACGTAGTCGTCCTTCTGGCTGTCAAAAACCTCCTCTTCGTATTCGGTCTGGTAGTCGGATTCGTCTGAACGGGAGAGAAGTCGGAAGAGGGTTCGTTTGAAGCCAGGGTCAAGGCGGGAAGGAGAACGCTGAAGCCGACATCCTCAGGTGACTGGATCACCTGGAGCCACTCCAAAAGATCCCCGGACCCCTCCTTTCAAGCCCTGAGCTACGGAATATCCTCCTTTCTTGAGAACGGCCTGTCTCCCTCCCTCCGTTTGCTCACCGTCCACAAGGATGGCCTTCACCGGTTCAATTCGGGAGACGATTTCAGCCAAATCCGTGAAAGAGGTGGTGGGGCAGGTCACGTACTGAAAGGGGAGGAGAAAGAAAGAAAGAAAAAAAGGATGAACAAATGCTGGGTGTCTCAGTCACGGTCAGGCCCAAGAACCAACAAAGACCTGGGCAGTTACACCGGACAACTTTCTTCACTGTCTTTTGCCCACAGACAGAATCTTGCCAGATTAAAGCAACAATCTGCGTAACTACGGATATCCTTTCGTCTTTTCCTGCCCTCTGGGAAACAGCCCCTCCCTCCCTCCTGGGAATCCAGACGACAGTCCACCACGGTGACCATCCTTCGTAAAAGGAGGGAAGAATGCTTAAGCTGTAGGATAGGGGGGAAGGAGAAGACAATTCAGCTCGGCTACTCAGCGCTATCGACCGGAGCCACGAGGGGCTTGGATCAATGTGCCACAGTACCACAGCCAGCTCCGTCCCTTACTTTAATTGGATGCGTTTTCTCAACATTACAGCCAACGTCCAAAAAATGCGATGACTCAGGTTTGCAATTGGAAAGCTGTCCAGAGGGAGGGCAGGGATGGGGACGATCTGCTTTTCAGTTTGCGTAGGACGCAACAAACAAGGAAAGAAGAAGGGAGATTCTCCTTCCAGGGTTCAAAGAAGACCGGGGAGGCGGGAGGGGGGGCTTGTTAGAGTTTGATGCTGCAATTCCCCACTGAAAGCATTTCCAGCTGCTTTGTTTCTTCTCCTCTGTTCAAAATCTGACTTATCAATCTTCCCTTTCTTGGACAGATCATCCTGTCCTTTTTAAAAAAAAAATATTGAGAAGGGGGGGTGGGGGAAGCACACACTTCCAGGCAGAAAATGGTGTGGAATTCCCCCCCCCCCCCGGGTTTCAGACTGCGTTGGGTGGCTGGCTGGGTTAAGCATTCTGAAAAGCTTGAAGCATTCAGCAGAAAATTGCAGAACGGAAGGAAAATTCCTCCCCAAACAAGGCTAAGCTTGTGGCTACTCAGAGAGAGGGAGAGGGAGAGAAATAGAGAGTGATAGATTAGATAGATAGATAGATAGATAGATAGATAGATAGATAGATAGATAGATAGATAGATAGATAGATAGATAGATAGATAGATAGATAGATAGATAGGCAGGCAGGCAGGCAGGCAGGCAGGCAGGCAGGCAGGCAGGCAGGCAGGCAGGCAGGCAGGCAGGCAGGCAGGCAGGCAG